TTTATATTTTTGTTCAGTGTAGATTTAAGTCAAAAAAGTAACTTGCCCACTCAGGAACATTCACTGTCTTCTTGGTAAGCAACTCCAGTGTAGATTTGGCCTTATGCTTTAGGTTATTGTCCTGCTGAAAGTTGAATAAATCTCCCAGTGTCTGGTGGAAAGCAGACTGAACCAGATTTTCCTCTAGAATTTTGCCATTCCATTTTTTTTATCCTGAAAACCTCCCCAGTCCTTAACGATTACAAGCATGCCCATATCATTATATAACCACCACTATGCTTGAACATATGGAGAGTGGTACTCAGTAATTTGTTATTCTGGATTTTCCCCAAACATAACACTTTGTATTCAGGACAAGAAATGAATTGCTTTGCCAGTTTTTTTTCAGTATTACTTTAGTGCCTTGTTGCATAGGATTTATGTTTTGAAATATTTTTATTCTGTACAGACTTCCTTCTTTTCACTCTGTCAATTAGGTTAGTATTGTGGAGTAACTACAATGTTGTTGATCTGTCCTCAGTTTTATCCTAGCGGTTTCCTTCCTCTCCGGCAACTGAGTTAGGAAGGACGCCTGTATCTTTGTAGTGACTGGGTGTATTGATACACCATCCAAAGTGTAATTAATAACTTCACCATGCTCAAAGGGATATTCAATGTCTGCTTTTGACCAATTTTACCTATCTACCAATAGGTGCCTTTCTTTGCGAGGCATTGGAAAACTTCCCTGGTCTTCCTGGTTGAATGTGTTTGAAATTCACTGCTCGACCCCACACATACAATTAACAGATAATTAATTGTATGTGTAGGGTACAGAGGTAGTCATTCAAAAATCATGTTAAACACTATTATTGCACATAGAGTGAGTCCATGCAACTTATGTGACTTGTTAGCAAATGTTTACTCCTGAACATATTTAGGCTTGCCATAACAAAGGGGTTGAATACTTATTGACTCAAGCATTTCAGCTTTTCATTTTGTATTAATTTGTAAAAATGTTGAAAAACATAATTCCACTTTGCCATTATGGGGTATTGTTTGGTGGCCAGTGACACAACATTGCAATTATATCAATTTTAAATTCAGGCTGTAACACAACAAAATGTGGAAAAAGTTAAGGGGTGTGAATACTTTCTGAAGGCACTGTAGCTTCTATTGTGTTCCCATTTCATATATATTTTTAAGCTTCCAGCTATCCAGCAACAGTAGATACAGTGCCTTGCAAAAGTTACAAAGAGGGATTAAAATGGATTTGTCTTTTTTTTGTCTTTTTTTTGTCAACAATCTACACAAAATACTCTGTAATATCAAAGTGGATAAATAAATTCAAGCCTAAATTAGTTCAGGAGTAAAATTTGGTTTAACAAATCACATAATAAGTTAAATCATTTTTGAATGACTAACCCTTCCTCTGTCCCCCATACATACAGTGGGGAAAAAAAGTATTTAGTCAGCCACCAATTGTGCAAGTTCTCCCACTTAAAAAGATGAGAGAGGCCTGTAATTTTCATCATAGGTACACGTCAACTATGACAGACAAATTGAGAAAAAAAAATCCTGAAAATCCCATTGTAGGATTTTTAATGAATTTATTTGCAAATTATGGTGGAAAATAAGTATTTGGTCACCTACAAACAAGCAAGATTTCTGGCTCTCACAGACCTGTAACTTCTTCTTTAAGAGGCTCCTCTGTCCTCCACTCGTTACCTGTATTAATGGCACCTGTTTGAACTTGTTATCAGTATAAAAGACACCTGTCCACAACCTCAAACAGTCACACTCCAAACTCCACAATGGCCAAGACCAAAGAGCTGTCAAAGGACACCAGAAACAAAATTGTAGACTTGCACCAGGCTGGGAAGACTGAATCTGCAATAGGTAAGCAGCTTGGTTTGAAGAAATCAACTGTGGGAGCAATTATTAGGAAATGGAAGACATACAAAACCACTGATAATCTCCCTCAATCTGGGGCTCCACGCAAGATCTCACCCCGTGGGGTCAAAATGATCACAAGAACGGTGAGCAAAAATCCCAGAACCACACGGGGGGACCTAGTGAATGACCTGCAGAGAGCTGGGACCAAAGTAACAAAGCCTACCATCAGTAACACACTACGCCGCCAGGGACTCAAATCCTGCAGTGCGAGACGTGTCCCCCTGCTTAAGCCAGTACATGTCCAGGCCCGTCTGAAGTGCATTTGGATGATCCAGAAGAGGATTGGGAGAATGTCATATGGTCAGATGAAACCAAAATATAACTTTTTGGTAAAAACTCAACTCGTCATGTTTGGAGGACAAAGAATGCTGAGTTGCATCCAAAGAACACCATACCTACTGTGAAGCATGGGGGTGGAAACATCATGCTTTTGGGCTGTTTTTCTGCAAAGGGACCAGGACGACTGATCCGTGTAAAGGAAAGAATGAATGGGGCCATGTATCGTGAGATTTTGAGTGAAAACCTCCTTCCATCAGCAAGGGCATTGAAGATGAAACGTGGCTGGGTCTTTCAGCATGACAATGATCCCAAACACACCGCCCGGGCAACGAAGGAGTGGCTTCGTAAGAAGCATTTCAAGGTCCTGGAGTGGCCTAGCCAGTCTCCAGATCTCAACCCCATAGAAAATCTTTGGAGGGAGTTGAAAGTCTGTGTTGCCCAGCGACAGCCCCAAAACATCACTGCTCTAGAGGAGATCTGCATGGAGGAATGGGCCAAAATACAAGCAACAGTGTGTGAAAACCTCATGAAGACTTACAGAAAACGTTTGACCTGTGTCATTGCCAACAAAGGGTATATAACAAAGTATTGAGAAACTTTTGTTATTGACCAAATACTTATTTTCCACCATCATTTGCCAATAAATTCATTAAAAATCCTACAATGTGATTTTCTGGATTTTTTTTTCTCATTTTGTCTGTCATAGTTGACGTGTACCTATGATGAAAATTACAGGCCTCTCTCATCTTTTTAAGTGGGAGAACTTGCACAATTGGTGGCTGACTAAATACTTTTTTTCCCCCACTGTACATCTGTAAGGTCCCTCAGTCAAGTATCGAATTTCCAGCAGAGATTCAACAACAAAGACCAGGGAGCTTTTCAAAAGCCTCATAAATAAGGGCAATAACAAATCAGACTGAATATCTCTTTTAAGCATGGTCAACTTTATAATTATGCTGTGGATTACACACGGAGAATACCAAACATTAGGAACACCTTCCTAAAAATGAGTTGAGTTTTTTAGGATAAAAAGAAACGGGATGGAGCTAAGCACAGGCAACAAACTAGAGGAAAACCTGCTTCAGTCTACTTCATACCAGAGATTGGGAGAGGAATTCACCTTTCAGCAGGACAACAACCTACAACACAAGCCAAATCTACCAAGAAGCCAGTGATGTGGAAAATTATCACTATACTTTATTAAAAATCAAAGTTCTTCCAGAGTTTTTGTAGAATCAAGATTTACTTTATTACAATGGACAAAGCCGTGATGGTCTGCAGAGCACCCCCCTCTCTCCCTTGGCTCTCCGTTTATATAGTCATATTCACACACAGCCTAGCTTAAAGCCCCTCCCTCTTGGGTTCCCCTACCACCATTCTGGTTTCCCTCTCTCTACCGCTACGCCCACTCCCTAAGATGATCTATGATAGCGGCTAAATTTGACATTTATTCAGTTCAGAATCAATAGTAATCAATCCCTTATCTTGCAAAAACACTCATGTTTAGTTTAAACTCTGTTCAACCCCAGCTCTCCCGGGCTTGACCTGAATATTGATTGTTGGACATGACAGGTCCATACTTAATTTTTCAAACATACACAAACCCCACCCCATCATGCTGTAATCAATCAAGAAGATAGTCAAGGAGAGACAAAGGTTTAGCCTGAACTCTGTTCAACCCTGGCTCGTTCCAGGGATATGCCTAAGGAGAGCCACAGGGTCATAGTTTGGTTACAGTCACAGATAACATAAAACAACATTTGAATTTGACCCAATGACAGGTCAGATGCCCATTTTACACACACACAAACATAGTGAGAGGAATTCACTAAGTTCTTGTCTAGCAACAGCAATGTACCAATGTTTAATTATGACTCCTTGTTTGTCATGTGTGTAATTAACATTGGTTATCCAATAGTTTACTAAAAAATCTTCATCACCAGTGAATGTTCCTGAGTGGCCAAATTAGTTTTGACTTAAATCTGCTTGAAAATCTATGGCAAGACTTGAAAATTGCTGTCTAGCCATGATCCCCAACATCTTGACAGAGCTTGAAGAATTTTGAAAAGAATAATGTGCAAATATTGCACAATCAAGGTGTGCAAAGCTCTTATAGACTTACCCAAGAATACTCACAGCTGTAACCGATGCCAAAAGGTGTTTCTAACATGTATTGACTCATGGAGCTGAATACTTATGCAACGACTATATTTTAGTTATTTACTTATTTTTTCCACTGAGAGTATTTTTTGTAGATTTTTGACAAAAAACGACAATTAAATCAATTTTAAAATCTTACTTTGTAAAACAACAAAATGTGAATGAGGCCAAGTAGTCTCAATACTTTTGCAATAGCACCCACAGAATCTGAGAAAATGTGAAAATAAAAAACCAGGTGTGAATTAAATGGAAAAGACAAATGGAAAAAATAAAGAAAAGTAGAAATTACATTTTTTAAATACAAAAAGCAATTACTAATGGACTTTATAGTAAAGAGAACAATCAATACAAAAACTGAACACTAGTAATGGCAAAGGATAGCACAGTACATGGTCTTGGTTTGTTCCTGAAGGAGCAAAATTAGAGAAATATTCACACATCTAGAGTAAAGTTAGGAAGATGGCCCATCTTTTTCCTTACCCTCCTCTCTCTACAAGTCTTATATTATATGAGGAAACCCCAACCTGGGTTAGAGTGGGGGGATAGTCAACACTCATTTATCACTTTAAATAATTGATACAAAAAGGATCACCTTAACACATCCATAGAAAGATTGCCGTGAATCATGCTCAGCCTGAGGCTGAGCTGTTTGAGGGGGGTGGTGGTGGGGTGTCAGCAGGGGCGGAGGATGCGGGGGAGGGGATAGAGTCTTGGACAGGGGCTGCAGGTGTAGGGGTAGTGGTTGGTTCAGGGGCAGAGTCTTGTTTGGAGGGATCCATTTCAGATGGCCCTCCCTGGGTCTCCTTGTCGTCCTCCTGGGGGTAGAGTTCTGGGTATCTCTGCATACACTCCTGCATTCCCCTGAATTGCTCCAGGCACTCCGAGCCCTTCACCTCCTCCTTGCTGTAGTGGAAACAGGAGAAGGCCTCCTTAAACGACGCTCCACAGGGACCGCTGGCCATCCCTCCCAGACAGGGGCAGTTCCAGTTGATCTCCCCACTGGGCAGGATCAAACCTTGGGAGGAGAGATAGAAAAAGAAATGGAAACAGATGCTAATTATACCGGAAAGGAGTGCAAATCTATTAGGTTACTGGTTATAACAGAGGTCAGCAAGTCTGGCCAATGTCACAACAAACCAATGAAAACATGGGACATGTCCTCATGTCAATCTAGTTAGCAATTGAGCTAATCTGGGCCTAATGTAATCTAATTGAGAAGCACTACTCCTCTCTGCTCCTCTCCACTCACCTCGTTCTTCATAGGGGTCATCAGGATCCTCCTCCACCAGCTCAGCGTTGCTCGGTGTTTCATGTTCCTCCTTAGTCACAAAGATGACACGGTCTTTACCTGGTGTGGAAAGGACAGAGGCAGATATCAGTGAGTTTAGAGTCTCCGCTGACTCAAGTGGCATGAAGAGGATTGTGGACTGGAGTTAGTCAACCCTAATATGTCCAATCAAATACTATTCACTTATACATAGTCTTAAATGTGATATAAATGAATGGCCGACCAATTTATATCCATTAGTTATCACACAGCAGTCTGTCTACTTTATACTGAAACTGATATCTCACACACCATGCCTGATATCAGAGACATAGATTTTCTAAATCTGTCTCTGGCTGAACCTGGTTCTACTAGCATTGGAGGAGACAAACAATGCCTCGTTCTAAGTAGAATCATAGTCATAAAATGCAATGATCGAGTAGCTAGCAAGCTACTGCTGTCATTCATTCACACAACACGTAACGTTACCTTCCTCCTTGACTGAGGACATTTCTTCGGTGTGGTATCTACCGACGTGTTGTGCCCTTGCCCTTCAAGGTGTCACTACGGTGCCGAGTTTCCCGACTGATGTTATACTACTTTATCAATTACAAAAATAGAGTAATTTGGTCTTGTATAGCTTGCTAGCTGATTCACAACGACTTAATCGTTCACATAACCCACGTTTTTACCTTAGAGCGTCTGAGGACGTAAGAACGAAGGACCCCTTTAAGCTGCCCCTCTTAGTTCCTGACGTAAATTCGTAGTGAACTGTCAAACACTGATACAGTAACACCACAGAGTTTCTAAACCCAGAGGCGCAACATCGCGAGACTTCCGGGAATGCTTGCGAAACAGACCAAACAGACAGGCCGGGGTTTGGGGTTTGAGAAGTCAATGAGAGAAGTAAAAGAATCTTCCTTAGTTGTACATTTTCTAGAAATGTAAATGCAAAACCTAGATGAGAGCCAATGTTTTAAGTTGTTCAATATGCTATTACTCCAACCTCATGAAAGTGACAAACCGACACGTTTTCATTTTCATAAAAAACGACTTTATATCGAAGGAGTGCCTTTGATTTGACAATCTGCACATGCGCAGTTTGGCGCGAGACGACCGTTAGACCCGATGACGGGTTTCTACGCATGAGTTTAGCTAGCCAACGTGGCGATGACGTCGCCTACAAGTGTGATCGGGGATTGCAGTTTTAGCCTATCTTTATACTGTACTGTCTTCGGTAACACTGAGGTCAAATGGGTAACAAGGCAACAGTAAATATGTCAAATCCAATTTTATTTGCCACATGCGCCGAATACAACAGGTGTAGACCTTACAGTGAAATGCTTACTTACAAGCCCTTAACCAACAATGCAGTTTTAAGAAAAATAAGTGTTAAGTAAAAAATAGATAAGTAAAAAATAAAAAATATTTAAAGAGCAGCAGTAAAATAAAATAACAGTAGGGAGGCTATATACAGGGGGTACCAGTACAGAGTCAATGTGCGGTGGCACAGGTCAGTCGAGGTAATTGAGGTAATATGTACATGTGAGTAGAGTTAAAGTGACTATGCATAGATAATAAACAGAGAGTAGCAGAAGCATAAAAAGAGGGGGTGGGGTGGGCAAATAGTCCGGGTAGCCATGATTAGCTGTTCAGGAGTCTTATGGCTTGGGGGGGTAGAAGCTGTTAATAAGCCTTTTGGACCTAGACTTGGCGCTCCGGTATCGCTTGCCGTGCGGTAGCAGAGAGAACAGTCTATGACTACAGTGGCTGGAGTCTTTGACCATTTTTAGGACCTTCCTCTGACACCGCCTGGTATAGAGGTCCTGGATGGCAGGAACCTTGGCCCCAGTGATGTACTGGGCCGTACGCACTACCCTCTGTAGTGCCTTGCGGCCGGAGGCCGAGCAGTTGCCATACCATTTACATTTTACATTTAAGTCATTTAGCAGACGCTCTTATCCAGAGCGACTTACAGTTAGTGCATACATTATTATTTTTATTTTATTTTTTATTATACCCCCCTGTGGGAATCAAACCCACAACCCTGGCGTTGCAAACGCCATGCTCTACATCCCCTGCCGGCCATTCCCTCCCCTACCCTAGACGACGCTGGGCCAATTGTGCGCCGCCCCATGGGTCTCCCGGTCGCGGCCGGCTACGACAGAGCCTGGATTCGAACCAGGATCTCTTGTGGCACAGCTAGGACTGCGATGCTGTGCCTTAGACCACTGCGCCACTCGGGAGGCGGCACAGTGATGCAACCAGTCAGGATGCTCTCTATGGTGCAGCTGTATTACTTTTTGAGGATCTGAGGACCCATGCCAAATCTGATAGTTTGTTGGTGATGTGGACACCAAGGAACTTGAAGCTCTCAACCTTTTCCACTACAGCCCTGTCGATGAGAATGTGGGCGTGCTCAGTCCTCTTTTTTTTCCTGTAGTCCAAAATCAGGAAATTGTGGACCCCAGCAATGATGCAGCACCCCCTTGGGCCAATTGAGATATTGCGTGTGACTAACACTTTTCAGTAATCATGTGTGACCACATATTATCCATTATATTGACCAGTGCTAGGTTTCCCAAAATCATGTTAGCACCATTTAGTTTAAATGGAATTAAGATGATCTTAGTGCTAGCATGATTTTGGGAAACCCAGCCCAGATACTCAAGTGGCAGCTTGAAAATAAATGGGTTTCCACTAGTTAATCTTAAACTGACATTCCCCTGAATCGGGCACTAGAATTACTTACAAAAATATATGTATATGTTTACATTACTTATTTATTATTTATTTCCCACCGTTTTATACGCCAGAAGACTGCAATCCAGACCTTCCTAGGACCTTGTAAACATTTTCTGTCGAATAAACTGCGTCATTACATCGATTTATATCACTTCACTGCAATGTTACTTCAAAGTGGCGGTCTTTAAACAAACATTTATCCAGCTCGGCTGCTTCACCGCACAGACATTGCAAAGCAATCCCTGAATTTGTCTCGAGTAGGTGGATCTAAATACATAGCTTTCATAGCTCTACGATAAAGAATGCGACCTACACACGCCCTTAAACCTAAAATAAGTAAAGAAGTAAATTTGTGTTGAAGTCAAACATCTGTTTTATATCGGAGGCATACACGTTGCATATGCTCAGAACGACAAAATCGATCCCTTTACATAGCCCTTCTCCCCTTACATATAGGAGGGACGCACCCTGTTTAAATGGCCCAAATGTTGATTTAGATGCTCACACATTTAACAGATTTTGACTATCACTAATTTTTTTAATTTTTTAATTTTACCTTTATTTAACTAGGCAAGTCAGTTAAGAAAAAAATTCTTATTTACAATGAAGGCCTACACCGGCCAAACCAGGACGACGCTGGGCCAATTGTGAGTCGCCCTATGGGACTCCCAATCACGGCCGGTTGTGATACAGCCTGGAATCGAACCAGGGGGTCTGTAGTGACGCCTCAAGCACTAATGTCATGATATGTTTGATAAAGTAATAAAAAAGGTGAAATATTTTGGGTAGATGTTCCTAAAACAGATTATAACTATATATGGGCATATTATAAAGTATGAAAAGGCTTATTCATTCACAATTTAATTAAATTTGATCATATCATCATATTTATATATGTTTTATTATACTTTTATTGTGTACTAGATCATATGGGTTGAAACGTTTTTTTTCTTCTTCTCAGGGGGTAACGGAGGACGGGGGGACGACGACAATACTACGTTAATAAAATATTGCCCTCTTGCTAGATTGATGACTTAACCCATTGCGAAACAGTGCAAAACGGCTGTCAGTTCAACTGGTTAACACAGCCACAAAGTCCGATTCCACAGCCACAAAATCAAAATTGGCTACAAACATTTGCTTTTTGGTCTTAATTTAAGGCTGGGGTAAGGCATACGGTTAGATGTGTGGTTAAGGTCCGGGTTAAGATTAGGGTTAGGTTTAAAATCTGATTTTAAGAAGATACATTGTAGAAATGGGCGGGGTTCAGCCATAATTATGATTTTGTTGCGAATTGACGACCAAAGAAATGTCTTCAAAAATGGAAGGCTGTCGGGAGGAGCACGATCAGTGGGACCCTTCTAAGCAATGAGAGGGAAGATATGCGTGTGAACAACAGGCCAGAGATATTAAAGAAATAGGAGATAGGAATCCCAAAAATCCCATAGCGTAATGAATGGTGCAACGTATACCACCCCACCCAGCAGACTGTCGACCAATCGTGTTCACGTTGTCATGCTGCGTCGAGCGGTTGCTAAACTAATCGTCACTCAATCCCTTCTCAAAGTCAGGGTATGAGTCGAAAAACCTGCCTATTTTCCTCGAAAGTACGTAATGTCACGATTCCAAAACTATACGATATTACAGAGAACAAATTATTTATCTCACATCTCAGAAAATATTTGTAATGTTGTACTTCTTGCCACCTCCCCGGTCAGCAACAAGACCCAGGCCCTCGCACGGTTCTGGCTGGGGTCTTACCTCAGGACCCTGAGGCTGATCCCAGTCGACCTGCGAGCCCCAGTCTCTTTCCTGCTCCCCACACACTATGTCCAGCTCCAAAAGTTTTTAAGACATTTTAAACTGGAAAAGGAGCCTGTCACGGTTTTAACTAAACACCGCTCTCTTCTCTCTCTTGTGCAGGAACGGGAACCGGTGTGTCCAGAGCGGGCTCGCTATAGGTGAGCCCACAACGGTTTGGCGCAACGTAGCCCATCCTGCTCTGCTGAATTGGCATCGTGACCTGTCCTGGATGGTCGCTCATGAGATCCTCCCGGTCAGGGCCGTTATGCACTCCCGGGGCATGGCGAGGACATCCGCGTGCCCCCGACCAGGCTGCGGCCAAGAAGAGTCGGTGAGGCACTTGCTCTGGGAGTGCAGAGCCGCACGGGACCTGTGGAAGGAAGCAGGCTCCCTGATCTCCCTATGTTTGCCAGCAGGGGAGGACCTAACGCCCCAGCTCGTGCTATATGGGGTGGGCCGAAGGCCTATACAACCAAAGGCCTTCACAAAACTCTGGCCCACCCTCACGTGTCTGAAGGACGCACTGTGGTCCTGCCGTAACCTGCTGGTAGGAAAACAGGTAGAGACCACCCCCCAGGCAGTGGCTTTGGTAGCCAC